GCTCGCCGTGGCCTCCTCCCCATACCCCTTTCCCAGAGGATTGCCCTAACCCTGGGGTCTCCCACTCGAGTGGCAGGGACTTCTTCTCGCTGTCTGTATTTTAGACCCCCCCACCCAAAATTAAAATACAAAATAAAGGGCAAAGAAGGGAAAACTCCTCGCTGGAGTGACAGAAGCAGCAGAGCTTGGGTGGGAGGGAAGAGAGTGGGAGAAGCAACTCGGAAATCATTATCTGTTGGTTAAAACCTGCCTGGGGTAAAATTTCAACTCGATTTTATAGCCTTCTATTATGACGCAAAGAAAAATTTACGACCCTCGCTTGAAAAGAGGGCCGAGGCCCTTTCTCACCAGTTTAAGAATAGGCGGCAGATGCCGTGACAGCGACCATTGTTCCCTGTAGACACAGGCGACCGGGCAACCTCGGCCCGCGTGCGCCAGGCGCGTCCCCCAGCCGGGCTGGTTTTTTACAAGTCCTGCTGTCTGGCAGCAGCCCGCGCCCACCCTCGCCCCTCGCCCTCGCACCCCAGCCCCTCGCACATCCTCACGCACACCCTCCCTCTCTCTCACACACACACTCGGCCGCTCTCGGTAATTTTTCATAAGCGCAAAGCTTTGCTGAACCAAAGGTCACCATCCAAGCCACTAACAACTTCTCGCCAGTGCGCGGTTCCAAATCAGGGAGCAAAGGGAACTATTTGTCAGCGGCCCTGACAGCTAAGTTCATTAAGGATTTAAATCTGATGAAATAAAAGTCGCCAAAATATTTACCTGCCGGCCGCGCTCCCGCGCCTGCCGCCGGGGGCCGGGACGCCGCGCGGCCCCCCTCGGCGGGTGATATTCTTGGGATCCCTGCACTTTCCAAGTCGGAGAGAGCCCTTTGCGTGGCAGATTAATGACGACTCCGTGTTTCTTAAGGGACGTGCTGAATTAATTATTTCGCCAATCACGTGGTCGGGACTTGTAGAAATCTATTCTTATCATCTTCCTCGCACTTTGAAAATTCTCCGGGTTATGAAGGGCCCTCCCCCGGCTGCCTTCGAGCCCTGGCTGCCCTGCCCGGCGCGGGGGGCAGGGAGGGCTCCCCATCATGGCGGGCTGGCGGGCGGGAAGCGCCGTCTGCCGAGGGTCCCGATTTACTGTACTGTACTCAGCGCGCTCGGCTATGGACTCGCTTCCTCCCCATCCCTGCCGGTGATTCAATACGCACAACAGTATTGATGTATTGGTGGGCACAGGAGGAGCCATTAAGCAGAAGATGAGCAGAGGACAATCATAAAATGTGTCTGAATATTTAAACTTCTGTCTGTGCACTTATAAATACACATGTCCACGCGTCTGGGAAGAGCCCTTCCATATATTAAAGACACATGTCTGATTTTATGTATTCTGCTCATTTCCTGTCTCTAGCAAGCCCCCCATCTATTTTGGGACTTCTGTCTTGGCCCCCTCTTCAAGGTGAGGCCAAGATGTGAAAAGCCCGCGCGATAAAAAATAGTGCAGGGAACTTTATGTACTGGGGAGTGTTTATTGTTGTCTGAGGGATGGAGGGGGGTCAGGGGAAGGAGGGGCAGGTGCTGGAGACCCTGTGGAGTTGAGCAGCACCGGAAAAGTAGAAGGAACCCAAGATTGGAGGCCAGCGGGGTCAGGTCATAGCAGTCACTGGCCAGCCTCAGCTTGGCCCAGAACCCAGCACTCTCTCCGGAGGGTTGGGGAGGGGGGTTGTGGATAGGAAGGCCTCTCACTCATCATTTCACAAATACCTCCTCTGAGGGCTTGGAGACTGAAGAGGTCTGGGGCTGGTCCTGGCCAAGCATAAGGCCAGCTTGAGCCCTTTACTAGCCTGGGCAATTACTTCTTTTCATTTAAAAAAAAATAATGCCCACCACCCTGCAACCTGAATCCAACCCCAGACTTCTCCATGCTCACAAAATATGGTGGCCAAATTGGAAATGTGTATACATGGGGAAGGGGAAATAATAAAATTGCTAAACCTTACAGGGTTTAACCCTCATACCTTAGACACCAAAATAATTGGTGTCTAATTTATTGTGAAAAATAATAATATAAATTGTTACTATTTAATATTAGCTTTTAGAAGACTTAATGAAGAATGCTTCTTGTCAAGGCACAAAACAGGAGGGAGATTTTGCTATACCTTTTATTATTTCAAATATAGATCAATGAATTACATCAAAACTACAGGCAACAATTAGTATAAATAATACTTTAATCAGTGGCAGCAAAACATTGGTCAATTCTATTAAAAAAGCGTCTCGTGTGAACAGACACCATGGCGCTGACTGACAATATCATCCAACAACAAAAGGCTGCAATGGACAAGTGAGATGGGAGTCTGAGGAGCAGTGTTCTCAGCAAACACTTCACACACACACCCCAGTCACAACCCCAACACAGGCTTTTTAAAAACACCAAAACAAACACTTCTGGCTCATATTTGGGGGAACAAGCTGAAAATAAATAATAGCAAATGGGTGCTGGAACCTTTCCACATCTAATTTTCTCCAGAGCACGTTCCCAGATGGAAACCCATTTCCTTCCCTGCCCTAGGTGGTTGAGGGGCCCTGCCCCTACCCTGGCCCACTCCGGTGGGCCCAAATGGATGCTGTGGTCTGAGTGGAACCTCAGGGTTGGGGGCTGCCCTCTGGGCCATCCAGGCTCATTAACATTTCAAAAGACAATCCCTCGAAGCTGAGAAGAAGAGCTGAGACTTATAAACAAAGAAGTTGTTTCTCTGATTAAGTTACTTTCCAAAGTGATAGGACTATGTTTGAGGAGGAACATGGGTTTTCTTCATGAAAACATGCCTCTTTGCTTTCCTCTTGGGCAGGGGTGAAGGCAGTTAAGCAGCTGTGGCATTTGGTCTGAAGCTGGGCTGAGTAACCTGAACTTCTGGAGAGGGGGAAAATCTATATAATAACCTCTATAATATATATATACATGTAGTTGGATGTTGTGAAAATATATGCTTTTTTCCCCTCCCAAGGAGAACGTTCAATGTATATACAGATTTGGGTTTTAGGAAAGAATCTCAGCAACTTTCCAACTTGCCTAAGGATAGAGGTTCTTTTCAAATGCTACATGCAAAACTGCTTTCCATGTTAGAGGAGAAAAAAGAAGAGAAGGGTAGTCAGAGTCCAAAAGGTTAAGGGTTTAGAGGTCAGTCCTCCCGGCTGAAATACAGCTAATCGAATAGAAAATTTGTCCTCTGGATGAACCTTATTCTGTAATTTAGCCAAACTTCAGTAAAATACCTTTTCAGCTTCTCAACGTGAGGGCGTCAGAAAAAAAGACGTCTTGACTATGTATGAACTCTGTGCTTTTTGTCATAGAAACAATGATGAGAATAATGCAGGAATATCCATCTTTAATATCCCGACGTGGCGATATTCAAGTATTGCCATGTGCAAGTCTGAGAGCCAGGCTCACCCCAAGGAGGAACAAAGAGCTGTCCCCAGGGTCTAATACAAAAGACCAAGGCTTGGATGATACTTCAGAGAAGTGGAATTTCAGCCTAGGGACTCCAGTGAATACCTGCCCTCCGCTCTCAGGAGACACAGAACCAAAGTACCCGCCTGCAGAGAAAGTATCTTTCCCCCTCCACTTAAAATATATTTTAAAAATTACCACCGAAACCTTCTAAAGTGTTCTGAAGCACTGAAAAAGTAACATCATTCTGAACCTTGGAATTAAGTTTTACACTTACCTCTTCTCCCTCCTCTCTTTTGTCACTTTTTGCTAGCTACACAAGGGGCTTCTCTTTTGGAGCCCGAAGCTTTGGGGTTTAAACTTCTGAAGACTTGTCTCATTTGAGTATATGAACTCTGGTCATTACCTTTGATTCTTTCCCCTTCGTTTTAGCAAAATGAGTTTTGAACCCTTCCCAGGCAAAGCATGAGAAAAATGATCAAAGAACAACTCTCTTGTTGTTTGAGAGATTGTTTTTAAACTGCTATTTTCAAGACAAAGAAGAGGCCCTGAAAACTCTTATACTTTTACCATTTCTGCTCCTAATTAAGGAGTTGAGAAAAATTTCCTTAGATTTGTTTTTTTTAAAAAAATCAAAACTTCAGGGGAAAAATTTAAGACCAATTTTTGTGGAGTTCTATATTCCATTACTCTCTTTTTTATAGCGAGACTTCTTCACCTTCCCACTTTCTCCCCACTGCAGAGCCCCTCCCCCACATAGGCCATGCCACCAATTTCTATAAAGTACTGATATGTGGGGTATTTGGGGCATTTAGGATCCAACTGGAACAGAAAGTTCAGTCATTATCCAACAACCCAGAGCATAGAGGTTCTGTTTTCTTACTCCACAAGTAAAAGGTTGGGCCATTTGTTTCTTTTTTCCGCTTTCCTTTAATCACCCAGAACTGGTTGTAAGCACAGTGCTAAAAAATCCACATGTGGAAATGTATTTTCAAGAATTCAACTTTGAGTGGATCCTTTGCTTCCCTCTAGAAGGGTTAAAGGCCCCCTATACACATTTCTAGGGAGTGGGGAGGGGTGGAGTTCATAATGCCAGTTACAGTGAGAAGCAAGTTCATACATTTTTGATTCTGATCTTTGAAGCTCAGCCCCTTTTACCATCTTAAGATTTTTGGCATGAAGGTGTCAGTTATTTCTGTACTCCGTTCCCCAACAAATAAATATTTAATTAAGCAAATATAATCTACACATAAAGTAACCCGTTTCCACTTCCTTCTTAGACTTATTTCTTTGTGGCCACTAGGAGCAAACTATTTTTTTTTTTTTTTTATCACACTGGAAATTGTTAGACAACCCAAAAAGTTCAGAAATCCTGGCCCAGCACTCCTGTTCCACTGAAAGCTCCTAGCACAGGGGTGGGCAACTTTCTGCCTCAACTCCCCCACATTATTAAACCACAAAGCTCCCTGGAGGGGTGGAGTGGGGGAGAATGTCTAAATTCACACCGGGATAAAGCATCCAACCTTCCTTTGCAAATTCAAAATGCAACAGCAGAGATTTTCATGAGTTTAATGACTCGGCAAGGTTTTATGTTCTCAGTAGCTCCTGCCATATGATAATACTTAGAAAATCCCGCCCCCCCATCCCACCCCCATCTCCGCTCTAGGGAGGGGGCTGCCCTCGGGCAGGATGTTAACCTAGTCCGAGGGCGGCCTGCGTGTCCCAGGTCCACCCCCACAGTACCTTAGAGCCCAGCAAGGTGACAGCAGGCCCGGCCTGCCCCCGCAGCTTCGGCTCAGCCTGTAGCGCAGGGAGGGATGGGCCCAGGGTCCCCACTTCTATAAAGTCGTCAGGTCTGTGTGGTGGTCCTTGGCCATCGGCTGCAAATGCTGGCCGGGGGTGGCTGAAGAGGAGCAGGAGGAGGAGGAAGATGAGGACGATGACCTGCCTTTGGTGTTGGGCAGCTTGTGATCTTTTTTCCACTTCATCCTCCGGTTCTGGAACCAGATCTTGATCTGCCGTTCGGACAGACACAGGGTGTGAGCGATTTCAATCCGACGGCGCCGCGTCAGATACCTGTTAAAATGGAATTCCTTTTCCAGTTCTAGGACTTGCTGCCTGGTGTAGGCCGTCCGGGACCGCTTGGGCTCCCCGCCGGTGTAGTTGGGGTTCACTGCGAGACAAAACAGACAGTACAGCCAGGTCAGCGCCCGGCCACTAGTCAGGCCCCTAGCCTCCGCCGCTCACTTCCTGGCGCGCCCGAAGGCCGCGGCCCTCCCCGCGCGCTCCCAAGCTCGCTCGCTTCCTCCCTCCCGCCCTCTCCCTGGCGCACACACTCACGCCCACACACCCCTCACACCCACCCACTCCCCCAGGCTCGCAGCACGAGATCCCCAAATGTGCTCCCTTCTCCCTGGCCCACCTCCGTAATGCCCAAGCATTTTGGAAGTCCCCCTGTCCTCCACCGTGTTCCTTCGGCTCTGAAAATGGAGTCCTCCCCCACTCCACCCCCATCCCCACCCCCTTTTGCTCCCACAGCCAAGCAGCCAGCCACATGGTCCTGGCCTGCTCCCTCAGCTATAAAAATTTATGGAGAGAGTAATTGCAGTGCCCACGGAAGCTCCCCATGCCCTCATCCCCTCACACCCCACTCCCGGGGGCCCAGGTCAACAGGCTGCGTTGGGGACAGAGAGGTCGCTGGACCCAAGCCTTACCTGAATTCACGTGCACCTTTTTCATCCAGGGGTAGACCACGGCCGGCTGCTTGAGTGCTGTCCCGGGGGGAGGCTGCTTGGGGCCGCCTGGCTGGCTGCAGGCCCGCGCGCCAAGCAGGGGCGCGGGCGGGGGCGCCGGGGGCGCCGGGCACG